CAAACAGGGAACGACGTACAAAAAGCGCTCCAATACTAAATATAAAAATAATAAGTACACTTAAAAAAATATTTTTTAAAACTCTATAATATTAAGAACAAATCTTGTAAAAAGACGAACACAATTTGGATTGCTTGGCGCTCTATCATTGGTTAGTTTATCTCTTTTGCCAGTATGCTTTCGTAACGCCCACTTTCTATTGCCTCGTCTACTGAATTTTTGCACTATGCTTTTCTTTTAGCCTCTTATTTGCATATCAGACCGATGCCACAGCATCAATGTGGATTTGGAGCTCTTCTGCACCCATACCATCTTACAAATATTGCTCTCAGTATCTTCTTCGTCGTTTCGAAAATTACACCGCGAATATGTTCATTCCTCTATGATACTTGCAGTTTGCAAGTGCAAGAATATGAACTTCTTATATTCTTGGGCAGCTTCATCACGTTACGCAATAAACGCCAATTTTCGATCCCTGATTATTTTGCACATTTTTGTCTGTTTGCAAAAATATGCAATCTTATTATGCTTTGGCGTCAGTCTACTTCTTATTCTATTGTATATGGGGTTTTTTGGTTACTTCAAACAACGTTTCTCCACCAGCCAGCATATGATGGCCCAGACAAGGTGCTCTATTTCCGCGACACGACCTTCGAAGAAGAAGTACTTCGTCTAGATTCACGTGTTACTTGGCTAATTGCTTTTTACACTGCTTGGTCTCCCGCTTGTATTAAATTGGCTCCTATTTTCTCGGAATTATCTTCTGAGTATGGTTTGCCAAACCTTAAATTTGGAAAAGTAGATGTAACTAGGTTCCCAGAATTAGCTCGTAGTCAGTCTATCGACACGTCTACCTGGTCGCGTCAGCTTCCAACCATCATTATATTTCGTGGCGGTCGTGAGATTGATAGGAGACCAGGCATAAGTGCTAAAAATAAATCAGTCCAGAAGTTTGTATTTTCTTGGTCAAACATAGTTCAATCGTTTTCACTCAACAACCTATATCAAGAGTGCAAAAAACACCCAGTTCCTTCGACTAAGTGTCCACAACCTAGCGAAACGAAGCGGATTACTAATAATTGCGGTGCAACTGTAGCCGAAATGGAACCAAAAAAAGAAAAATAATTAGTGCAAGCAAACATTATTACCGACGCATATATATACTTTTATTCGTAAATTATGTAGATTATATCAATCCTTTCCATATGTATATTTTTCTTAGATTTCCTCTTTAGTGATATGCTACAATAGC